TTCGTAATCTAAGCAGTTATTGCTAAATGAAATACATTTAAATTTTAGATATAGTTTGAATAATAAATTCGAAACTACTACTAACCAAACTATTTCGCGCTAACTTCTGCCGGAATGATTTCATCACGTTTCTCACTTGCTCCTTGTTACGTAGTCTACGTGGTGTAACTCGCGAGCTGCTTGCGCACTGATCGTAAATACTTTGCTCCGTCAATCGATCATAAATCTAAGATAAAAACATTTCGAAATTCGAAACAAGATGAAGGCTGAAAGTTTCATTTTGGAACTATTAGGAAATCCTGACACAAATCTAACACATAGCGTCTTTTAACAAAAATATTCCAAATTTCGGATATTAAACTGCATTTTAGACTATGAATGACATTAGACATAACATTAAGCATAGTTAAGCAAAACTAATTGAGGTGCCGTTTCAATATCAAAAATCAAGAGGAAAATAAATGTAATTAAAATTCAAATGAATTAGTTGTGCTATTTGAGCCTATTGCAATTACGGAATTGCAGTTTCTCTCATCCTCTCGTTCCTTCGCGCAATAAATAATATGCAGCAAAAGGAGACAAGAAAAAAAACCATACTGTTTTCTAAACACTTCATAGTCCAAGCAAATGTGATGTGATAAAGCAATAAGGATTTCATATATATATACATATTAAAATTTAAGAAAAATACGGAAGTTTTCATAATTCCAGTACGTGATGTTAACGCAAGCTCTTCACTTATAATATTACCTCAACTGCATTATTGTTCATGATACTTTGTTCTTTCACTTCTTGTAATATAATTGGTAATGTACGAAGAAATGGCTGATTAGTTCGTTTGGCATTTCCATGTGGTGCATTATCAGATATTTGAGCTGCTACGACGTGGTCACCAATGTAATGGAAAAGCACCAAACCGCATGGCTCTCGTGAATATTCGCAACGTCTGCAATTTTGGTTAACCTAAAATTCCTCTTTTTCAGATCTCCTAAACTAAGTGAATTGAAATGTGGATTTCATTGGTAATTCGACTTAAAAAAAATCTCAACTGCAATCTTCATAACACATATACAATTGTCAAATCAACTCCATATTATATGGAACAACAAGCTGGATTCAAAAACGCAAGCAAAATACGTGTAGTCCACCATGTACTAAGGCAAAGCGGATTCAGATGTGTAAATCGACAGGTGACAAATGAACCCCATCATTCCTACCAGCAAAGTTTCTGTTAATGTTTGAAAAGAAAACTGAAACTCTATCATAGAAAATAATCATTTTCCTAATGAGCCAACTCTTATGAAGCCCAATTACTTCACACATTCCTTTCTCTGAAGAATAAGATGCAGGTTCCCGACAAAAATGACGTCGATTATCAATTAATTAACTTCTAATTAAGCTGTGCATGATCTAAAAATGACAAATCAGAGAGTAAAAACCATACATAAATCTATCGTCGCCATGCGGATCATTTTTGCAGTAAAGTAAATTGTATCGTTTTTGCAATCCATTGCTCAAATTATGAACACCCTTGGAATTTCCCCAACGATATCCATCAACACGAAATGTGCGCCGTACTTGGTCATCATTCAAAGTTCCACGTGGATAAAGAGCACAGTCATATACCACAATGGTACCACCATCTGGTCGATACATTGGCCCATTGGTACATACCAAATTCCGATTTTTTTCGACTTTATCTGTAACGACGAAGAGTTGTTATGTAAAAAGAGAATAACCTAATTTCTTGAACATTTCAGATCTATCACGATTTATTCAGTTATTGTGTACAATTCCTGGAAACGGAAGAAGACATGAAAATGTAACATGCCAACAGTTAAACATCGAAAAAGTCAGATCTTTTCATTTCTCTACTTGGACTCATATTTTAGGAATTTCAGCACGATTTACTAAAAGCAGTCAAAGGATTTCTCCCGTAAGCTCGTTCAAATTTACACTTGCATTGTCATGAACGACTACAATGCGATCCAACCGGACAGATGAAAAGAATTGCTTCCAAAAGTCTGTTTTTTTTTTTTTTTTTTAAAAATAAATAGTTCCATTGTTTGTTTTAATTTTAAGAAACTCTTCCCTCAGAGGTTTGCAATCTCAAGTCAATGCAATTTGCAAGTGAAAACAATTTGAAAACGGACTCAAACTACGGTTTCAAGGATCTCAACTTGTTTTTAATCCAAATCACTGAAATAAAATCATATATTAGATAAGGAATTGCGGACCAAAGCTTTTTCTTTCCGCTATCAATTCTATTACGTTACTTTATTGTGTATCTTATTGCATCATTTTATTCTGTACTTTACAGCGTCCAAATGAGCATTTAAATTTATTTTGACGATTGTTTCTTTTATACTTCCTTATTAAAGCTTCGACTATGTAATTTTGCAGATTAGAAAATCTTCAATTATAATAAGTTCTGTTATGTACTTTATTAGGAAACGTTTGACGTGACCTCATCCGACAATCCTGAATAACCTACGTGATATCATTGTATGCATTTATTCCTGTGCAATTATTGCTCACTGTTATCATTACAGTCATTCCTTGGTAAAAAACGGCATCAACCAGACAGGAATTCATTCCAGCACGGCGCAAACCAATTCTTTTGAACTTGGACGAAGGTAAAACGTGGACTTAACCGATGGGTAAAACGTGGACTTACCGAGAACAGCGCTGTATTGATCGAGCGTCAAAGGGTTGGGCACGCCAGTTCGATACACTATACGTGGCTTTCGGAGGTAAGGTTCGTCCATTTCACGTCTATAAACTGTAAAATTCAGCTGATCAAGTTGAATTATCTTTTAGTTTTTAAAATTTTTCAACTTCAAAAAAAAAGGAAAATAGTCGATCGACGTATTCACCCTTTATTTAACGTCACCTGTATATGACCAAACACTTTCTCTAGCTCCCTACTCACGTGTGAATTACGCAAATGCTTCACTGACCAGGACAGATTATAGAGAATCGCTGCGAGACCTAAATTCAACGTTACAGCTAGATAGCCATTTCAAAAGATGCTCAGTTTAATTTATCGTCGATTAGAGAAAATTTTTTTTAAGCATTTTGCATCTATTCGCTTATCATTTAAAGTTTTGAAAATATACTCACCGCATACGATTACTGCTTAGAGATACTTTTTTGAATTATATAGGACAATTGTATTAATATGGATTTTCCTCATTCTGACAAACAAGAATTTCAAAAATTCCAGTGTGAAAAAAAGAAAAAAGAAACAAGAATTTCAGAAAAAAATTCAAGTGTAAGTTAAAAGTAAAATCTAAAGTTATATTTGTCCTTACAATAGTGTTATTTTATTATATTAAAGAACTCGCTTTAATTGCTCATAATTATGAGGTGCTGGAGACATGCTTTGATAATAACGTAAACAACACGATATGTCTGTTGTCTCCATAATGTCAAATGATTTTTCATCAGCCAATCAATATTGAATTTTTGTTGTTGAGTGTTAGAGTGCTATCGTCAGTAAAGAGGAAATATGGCTATGCGTTACCTTCTTTTCTTATTTCATTTTTTTAAGCTGGATATTTTGTATTTTTAAGTAAAGGTTTTTAAAACAGCGAATGGGGCTGTCAGTGAAGCTGCTTTGTAGACCTCTTCTTAAATGCTGAACAAGTAAACAGTGTTCAAGTTTTCAGGTTACAGATTGTTTTAGTTGAATGCACCATCGTAATGACGTATTACAATATCATAATTAAGCAACTTCAACTGATTATCGAAATTAAACGGTGAATTCATATAAATTAAACGGTGAATATAGATAATGAGTCTTGGAGTTTGACTGCAGCAATATCAGAAACCGATAGTTGTTTGTAGTTCTTTTTCCAGTTATCAAAACACTTTATTGATTGATATCGCCATACGCGCAACTTTTACATATACATTACATTTTGCAGAATTATTGAAGTGCCCAGGTTTTGGAAACTTTTAAGTCCCATAAATTGGCCATAACTAATGGGTGTGATCATCGGTACTTAATCAAAAGTAAATTTATGAGTTAAAAATATCATTAACCATAGGAGCAGTGTGTACGGCTTATATTTATTTTCTGTAGCCTATTTTCTACGTTATCGACTAGTTTGCGATGTGCAGTAACATTGTTTGGATAGTATTAACCTATACTTCAATATATACTTCACTTCAATATGCTTTGCTGATGTTTACCGTTTATACAACATTTTTTTTTTCTTGAACTTATTACTTTCATATCTTGAAAAGTACTTATCCAGCTTCCTAACTTCTTGAATAGAAGGAAATGGTTTAAATTAGATATAGATCAACTTAATAATCCCGTAACTAATATCGTATTCATCTCTGTGGTTACTAACCACATGAACTTTGGTTGTTGTTTTAACACAATAATGAATTAGGACAGCAAGAAAAGCTAGGTAATAAAGCCTTGTTTACTTCATATTTTTGCTTGTTTGTTCTTGCTATTAATTTATTTATATCAATGTCCGTCCCACATAATTGATGAAATATTTTCGGTCGATGCTGAAAAAATTATTCGCTAATATCGGAAATAGTTAGCAGGAATTCTAGCAAATGCAATGCCTTACCTATCATTGAGTTAGTGTGTTTGACACTGTATAGGTTTTGTCATCATATCTTTTCAGCTCCCAGTATCCAACTCATTTTGATAAATTACTAGAATGATTCGATTTGATGCAATTTCTCACTTTTCGTCATTGTGTTATTAGGTTTTAGCCATACACTTTTTTATTACACTTTTTCACTGAAGTTCGAAAATCTTGTTTGCGTGATTGATGAAGCTACAAATTTTGTTTTTGAGATTAGACTTAACTCATTTAATTTATCCCAGTGGAATCATTTTTGTATACCTTTCATATTTACTATTAGTGAACTCAGTGCAATGGTTGTAAAAAATCGGTTAATTAGCGTATGTCATTTGTCGTAATGCATCCTTAATATACTGATATTTCTTTGCAGCAAAGAATAACTAAAAGATGATTGGTTTAAAAGGTGAAATGAGAGGTACAAAACAAAGAAAGCTGAGTGAGTCACCACATACTAATTTGCATCGCAGTAAAAACTCATCGGTATTTTTTCTCCATATATTATTTTACGTCCATTACCTTTTCTAAATAGCTTCGTTTAATTCATTTCTTTCCATTCTTAACAACCAACGGTCTGCATCTTACGTTGATGTGAATAATAATATCGCAAATGTTTCTTATCTAAATTATTTTCTTGAAAAGTATGTTTCATGAATTTTTTTTCTTTTCTGTCTGTTTGTTCATCATAATGTTTCAGAAGTCATCAGATAGTAGTTCTTCGTCAGGAAAAAAGCGTGTTACTCTGCAGAACATTGAACAGGTATTGCTCGTAGAATAGTAATTTCGAAGTGTTTGCAGTCCTTTATGGACAGATTCATTTATTGTAATTAGGAAGAAAACAATTATTTTCATATAAGTTTTGATGTCTTCAGTCAATAATTTTAAACAATTACATTTTTTTTTATAATCATTTTTAAGTTTTCGAAAATTTCTTCATCTTTCCTTTTTATCCTAAGTTAATTTTTATATTACGATTTGTTTTGTCTTCGGAAATTTCATTTCACAATTTTTTTTTTCTAAATGCTAAGGTTCATTTCACATTTCAGTTCGTTCGTATATTCTAGACCACAACGATGGGCTGGGTATTTTGGGAAGCAATTATTAGGAAAGTGGGGTATATAGGGGTCACTTCTTTATTTTGTAATTTTATATCATGAACTATTGAAAAATTTGTGTTCTTCAAGTATACATGCATATCCAGGATGAAGTATCAACCGATGTATCAGAATTGAAGTCGATAGGAAAAGCACAAACGCTTGCTCATTCATCAGCTGATTATACATTGAGGTGATGCGTGTCATATATATATATATATATATATATATATTATATTTTTAGAAACCGATCTCAAAATATTCTCAGTTGACTTTGAACCATAAAGGTCACTTGAAATAATTCAAAAATCCATTTTTACTTAAAATTACTTTCATCACATTTCCCGTCATTCACGTAAATTTTCTAATGCCTCTATTGAAATCGAAAAGATAGCACTGTTGACTTTGATCATGAGATTAAGTTAAAACTCTTTTGGAAGCTACAAACCACTGGAAATTATCCACTCAGAAATTTTAGATGTGTGTAAGTGAATGATAGGGAAAAACTTTTTCCCTGGTACATATAACGTATAGTAAAATTTCTATATGAAATAGAAATGCGGTTGCATTTGAAAAAATAAAGCTTTTTAGACAGTTGTCTTAAAAATGCATTTAAACTACCAAACTGTTGTTTTTGCTGAATATTATGTCCGTCTACCTCTAGAAATATTAGTGAAAGTAAAATCTCACCTATTCACTTCATAGAATATAAACTAGGAAGATGAAACTAGAGGTTACTTATATTGGATAGTGTTGCAAAACTTTTCGGAATTTTCAGTTTAAATCATTTGCTCGATGTGAATTCGCGCAATGGTTCACAGCAATCAATACCTCTCAGTTCGAAATTAGACGACTCTTTAGATATTACGATTTATTGGGCAGATGAAAGAGGTCAGTTTCCTTTTTTTTCCTTTTAATTTTTGCACTAATTTCTTTCTCTTCGATAGTTTCAAAGATTGATTCATTAATCAATAAAGCTATTCTTCATTCTTTCATACACAAATGCCATTATTTTCTTTTAAAATTATGGCTATTTCTCTCATCCTCTCCTTGGCCTCTTTGACTTAAACATAATTACAGGTCTCAAATTTTCTCTAATCGGTGGTAAATTTGCAACAGCGTCAAGTTTGTTATTGCTACTTGCTGACCATTTGGGTATCGTAGCTGATATTTTCAAGCAAGTATGCGCTCTCTGGATGGTATCAGATTTATTAGGTACATTAAAATTTATTTAAATACATTTTTATTTTTTTACCAGTGGTTCTTTTTTTTTTGCAGAAGTGCAGTTGAAGCCACATCATAATCCATATGAAATCCGGAAAAACTGGATGCAGTTTCTACAACGATTCACGAATGCTGAAAGTAATGAATTAGTTGCTGACGAGCCGCTTCTTGTATTGAAGCGAAATGTGCAACTTCCTGTTGAGCGAGAACGTGAAGTGCGTTAAATTTAGATTTAACGTTTTTAACATGTATCAGTGAGCATTAACAGAAGAAAGCATCTTCTAGCGAAAGTTCCAGAAACTACAAAAGAAATCCGTCAATCTAAGCAAATATTAGAAATAAGTGGAACAGGAGACAAAGATAAGGTTACTTTATTTCTCGAATTGAAATTTGAGTAATCTAAAACTGTCATTGTAACAAATTAATATGAAATTTTTTAGTTGGAGGAAGATTATAGTAACGAAATATTAACGGAAATATTGTATAGAAGTGCAAAGCAAGAAGTTTTGAATGGTCGATACATATGTGACATCGATTTAAACATAAAATTGGCAGCCTTGCAAATGGCTATCGATTTAGAACCAAATGAAGACGTGGATATAATGAATGTGTTTGGGTTTGTCATTTTTCATCGATCATTTAAGTTGGTGTATTATATACATTTCTTTCTGTTTATGACTAAGAACTTGATTTCTGGAATCTGTTAATGGAATACCAAGAACTTGATCTTGTGTTGATCAACGGATTTTCGGTTATATTAAAGATAAATGATTTTGCAGAGAGGAGATAGAGACATTTTTTCCGCTGAAATATCGACATAATGTAAAAACATTTCATTTATTTGGTATTCCCATTATCGGTTGCAAGGGTTTGGAAACACGTATCCTTCAAGAATATCGAAATATAAGATTGAATTTTGAGGGCAAACATAGCTGTCGAAAAGCATACCTCAATATTATCCGCAATACACCTTTTTATGGGCAAGCATTGATCTCAGTTTTATTTTTTGCAGCTTGCCTGCGTTAATAATTGTTATTTTTGCATAGAAATTAGAATAGCGGCTTTCTATTATGTGTGCTTCAAAGGTAGGACAATGCTCTCATTGACTGATAAAACATTGAATCAGCAAATAATGGGATGCACATAAATTCATTTAGCAGTTGAAATTTTTGAGATAATATTTTATTCATTTTGCACTTTAATATTTTTCAGGGCTGCATTTTTTCGTGGATACGTTGAACGGCCATCAGGAAGACCATTGAAGGAAATCAAAAGAATGATACTTTCGGTGACGTTACCAGATATTCCGGTGGCATTTATTTTTGACACACATTAGTTTCATTTTCAGTTGTTTTTGTGGATTTTTATTTTTGAAATTTTGAAAATTGTGCTGCACTATTGCGTCTCAAAATTCACCCAACTAAGCGCTGGTAATCAAATGCATAGGATGAAGTATGTATGGTATTTCTAAAAATTACGCGAAAATTTTGCCTTACTTTAAAACTATTCATCGAAACGTATATTGTTTCATTTCAGGTTCTTATTGGAATCAGTTGTGGTTATGTTACATTGATCGATGAAGCAAAACAAGAGGTTCTGCTGGTGCAACGACTTCATGACTGTGATTGCCGCTATGTGGATGAGTTAGTCTTTTTGGATTTTAATAGCGACAGAATTTCTTGAGAATGTTGCGTTTTAAAGTGGAATTTTTTTAGTTTCTTATTGTTTATTTTTGAGATTTGATTCCTTGATGATATGAAGAAAAAAAAATTGTATCCAATTGTATTGTAATTTTTTTCTTTCGTTACTCTCATATATGTTTTATATATGTTTATTATTATTATAGTTATCATGTTATGTTGATAGCGAAATTAGTTTCCAGATATTTTTTATATTTTTTTTTAATTTCTGCTGTATATATGTGGTGTTGTTTTAGCGGGGTCTCACTAAATTTCAGTTATAATTTTCAGTCATTTCGAAGTTGCGATATCAGCAGCCGTTTTAACTGAATGCCCATGTTTCCTTCTAACCTTTCCGGATACTTCATTTCTAAATGACCATAATCTAAATTCTGAAACTGAAATGTTAAAATTTTCGGAACAAATTAAAGTGCTTCAGGTATAGCTTTTATGTAACACACGCAGTATTTCTCACATTTTCCATGCATGGTAGGGTTTCTCTCTTTATTTGATTTTTCAAGAATTACAGTGTAAACTATTTCTTCTATGACTGCTCAGTTTATTTGTTCTCTTTGCCAAACTTCATTCACCTTTAAAACGAGAATTCTATTCTGCTTACCATTTTTTTTTTTTTTTCATTTTCATAAGATATTTTTAATCGTTGTAGGTATTTAGCAAACAAGCCATAATGATTGAAGCTCTCATGAATTCTTTATCCAAACTAATGGAACGAAATACTGAAGAGAACACTGATAGCGTAATATCAAACATAAAATATGATAATTGCCGACAGGATCTCGAGGGAGCAGTATCGGATAATAGCAGTCCAGATGATAGAAACGCATATGTAACTAACGTTTCAGTAAGTTAAAAATTTTCATCTAGAAGAACGTGATGTAGGTTAAATTAAAAGTTTTCTCAGCTAAGAAACTGCTAGTTTTTTTTTTTTTTTCTGAATTCTACATTATATAATGCGAGAATTGTGTCAACGAGCAGTTGATGTGAAATACTTTTATTTGTGTGATAGTGTTTGTCAGATTGTAAGGATGGAACTGGAAACGCGAAATATATTACTTAAATATCTTAACTTGTGTTTCGGGGAAAAACCCTTTTCTCTCCTTCTTCTACTAAAATGAGTGAGCAGTGTGAGCTCCCAGTTTCATAATTTATTTTGCGCCTTTGAAGCATATGTACTTTTGAATTTTGTTTTTACTAATGGTTTTGAAGGTGAATGAACATAATATTCAACAAAGTCACAGCAACAGTATTGGTAGTCAGTGTTCGAGTTCCCCAAGTTCGTCTCGTCTAGATGAACAAACAAGAGGAAGTAGTAGTAGCACTAGTCGAAGTTTGACAAATGTATATAACTCACCGAGCCCGCTTATCAGCAATATTCATAAACTTTGCTTGGCTACACTTGATGCTGATGGTCACTGTGTGGATGCACAAGGTTCATTAAGAGTTTTACTAGAGGTGATGTAAGTATGAGGTTTTCTGGAGATTCATTTAATTGATTAGTATAAAATGCTTTCATGTTATCATTCATTTTTGGTTTTTGCTGATTTTCTTTCAGATTATTCTGCAAATATTTGATTGTGGGAATTATTGTTTTTGTGTTATTTAGTTTTTGATGTCTATCATATATGTTCTTGTTCAGAAACACTGATGAAATGTTGGTTTAAATTGTATATTATAAGCAGAAGGGCTGTGTTGACTATTAGTATAATGGTTAGCATTTTTGAAGAGTTTTAGTTTAAAGAAATGGATTACTCACTCATTTAATATTTGATTAAAGTTTTATTCTTGAAGGCCGCAAAATAATGATGAAAAATCCAAAAGTTTTTGTAATTAAAATATATATATATCGTCAACTAAAGATTTTGTAATATATATGCAAAGTTTTCATTTTATCTAGATAATGTGGAAGTGGAATGTTATACTATTCCATAATCTTGGTTACAGTTAGCATATGTTATTAAGTTTCAAATTCGGCTAATTTTTTTTCAAGCAGGAAATTTTACTTTTTAAGGTCAATAGCATTTGTTGTTGTTTTCCTGTAGTTTAATTTCTATTCCAAAATAGTTTATATGCCTTAAGATATTACCTACATCATTTTATATGATTTGATTTGCGTTTTGTGATTACACCGAATGATTTTATGATTATACGAAACCAAGTATATTGCATCGACTGTCTTTCTTTCATCATGATTAGTGGATATATTTTCATTAAATAAAATTTTATCTGCAAATGTTTTGTTATTGGCATATTAACTAAAACGGTTGGATGTGTAGCCTTTTCTTATTTTCCGTGTTATCATAAGTTTGAAATGACGTCGATTATATCACTGTATTTAATTTGGGAATAAATTAATTAGAATTTTTTTGTTAGGAAACTTAGGGATCGTCGTGAAGTATCGGTCTAAGTTAAACGAGTGATCTTGTGAAATTTTTGTTAGTCATTATCATTAATTCTTTTTTGTATAGAATGTCGAATTATTGTTCGTATAACCTGTTATGCATATAAACTTGGTCATATGCATAATTTATAGTTTATTATAATTTATTATTTTATTTAGTTTATTATGTTTTTTAGTGTGACCATTATGTTTTAACATAAACATAAGGAATTAAGCGAATGGTTTGTGAATGGTATTTTAGTTTGCGTATTAATTTCTATCTCCTTTTCAGACCTATCGTATATATGTAATGATGAACGATGTGAACAAGGTGAATCATTCGTGTGATGTGACATGTCGAGTTTGGTGTGTACAGTGGAATCATGCAGGCACGATACTTGCAAGTTGTGGTGATGATAAAACAATTAAGCTATGGAAACGTATTGATGGTGATTTTTGATTGCTTTGTTATTTTTAAATTTTTTTTGTTTCAATACAAAAGTTGTATTTTCATATTGCACTAATGATTGATTAGGTAATTACTTCTTGAAAAATTATGAGGCACAAGAAATGAGGATGAGATAATTTGGAAAGATTTGATATCATAGTGCAGTTATAGTAACTAAGTTTCACTGTTTGTTAAATAATCATTATTGTAAATGCTACTTTGTCTTATTTTTGACTTGTATTTTAATGAAGTTTGCATGTAGTTTTCGAGTTTTGATAATAGAAATAATTGTTGTACTATCGTTTTTGAACCATATGAAATGAAAGTAAGAGGATTTAAAAATTATGTTAATTATTGTTCAGTGAATAAGGAATATGTGTTTGCAAGTTGTGCTTTCGCTAGAAAATAGCAAGCTTTCAAATTTTTAACTTTTTTTTTTTTAAAACGCATCGTTTATTCATCGATAGCTGTAAGATGTATTGCTTCATTTTCTATGAAAATATTGGTTGAAATTAAATTTTTATCTTTTTGGTATTGATAGCAGACAGTCATAACATTAACTTGATTAATGTTTCTGTAGAACTTTAATCGAAAATAAATTCGAAAAGGGATTCAGATGCACCGTATTTGGTATATTCTGGAACAATAAGCGATTCTCATAATAGAGCTATTCGATATGTTGCATTTTCACCAAATGATAAATTCTTGGCTTCAGCTGGTTTTGATGCTGCTATTGTCATTCATCAGTTATGCAAGTAAGTGTCACTTTCTGGTAAAGGCCCTCAAATTTCAGAAATTTGTTCAATTTTCCGTTACTGTGACAGGAAATATTTGAGATGTACGATTCCTCTTGCTAAGAATGCTATTTATGGACGGTCTAAATTCCAGGGATAATCATAAATGTGACTGAAGTTATTCATGTGATAAATTACATCATTACTGTTTCTAGGAAAAGTAAAAGGTTCATTTTTGGTCAAATTTAAAAGTAAAAAAAAGAACTGGAACGAGTCCTGATGTTTTTTTAAAAAAAAATAATTCCTGCAGCCATAAAATATCTAAACGATCGTAAACTAATGATCAATTTTTGGTTTGCAGTAATGACTACGAAGAAATAAATCGTTTAGAAGGACATGAAAATGAAGTAAAATGTTGTGCATTCTCACCATCCGGTGAATATTTGGCAACTTGTAGTCGCGATAAATCAGTTTGGTTCTGGCAATGTAAGTAATTGACGCATGTAAATCAAAAAATGAAAATATCATTTTTACGTCCCTGAATTTCTGTTTCTTTAAGTAAATGAATTTCAGTAGATGAAAACGAAGATTTTGAGGTTGCATCAATTTTGCAGTCTCATACGCAAGATGTGAAATTTGTGGTGTGGCATCCAGTTGATGAGGTATTTACCAAAACATTTAAAAAAAATTTTTCTTCTTGATATTGATGTTACTAATTAATTATAAACAATAGTTTAATGTCTCTTATCATGGGCTATTGTACATATGTTTTTTGTTATTACTTATCATTACTTGATAATAAATTATACTTTATTTCGAGTTTTTATTTGATATTGTCTTTTTATCCTACTTTATTCGTAATTTTGAAAAAAAAAAAAAGCTAATCGTTGATTGATTAATACCATGTTAATGCGATACGGTTTAGTTGTTGGTATCATGCAGCTATGATTGCTCCATTCGATTTTATCGTTTTGATGGTGAGGATTGGATAACACAAGAAAAAATCGATAATGCGCACAAATCCACCATATGGTCAGCTGATTTCTCAGATGATGGTAACTTCCTTGTAACTGTTGGAGCTGACTTCATTATCAATGTAAGCTTTTTTTTTTTCATTTAATTGAGAATATGTTGTATTCTGAATTCTGATTGTTATTTTTTTGCTTATTAATAAATCAATTCATTATAATTTATATTAATTTATAAAGTTTTATTTTCATTTTCATGGAAAAATTTTATTCTTATTAGATGCTAAAAAATTTGTTTTTACTAGAAACTTATATGCATAATATTCAGTACATCGTGACAATTTATGCGATCTTTACGAGTGTTATTTAGTGAAAGTTCGAATTAAAATTTCTGGAGCTTATTATGGAAGTGCCAAACTGCAAACGGGAACATAAAAATATAGGTAGAGTAAAGGGAATGATTTAACATCAATGCGAGAAATCATTTTTATAAGTTTTTTATAGTTTTTTTTTTTTTTCTTATCGTTTTCTAATAGTCTTACAACTGCTGAAATAAAATTCGCGCATAATCGACTCATCTTTGTATTTTTTAGATTTGGATGAAACAGGGAATAAATTTAGCGCCATCGAAAAGTAAATGGAATAAGGTAACAAGTGTATGCGTGAAAACGAAATGGCCTCTGTACACGGTTTCATGGAATAAATTACATGGTATTATTGCTGTTGGTGGAGGAGATAACGAAATAAGGTTTGATAACTTTGATTAAATTTACGTACCTGCTTCTTTTGGTAATTAGTTGTTGTAAGGAACATTCTTCCATGTTTTCAAGTTGAAATATTGCACTACTATCGATTTTTTACTTCCATTTTTTTTCTACGGACTATGAAAACATTCTTAGGGCATTGAATTTTACTTTCAAAGGATCTCTTGATTGAATCCAGGAATATCACTTTGCAAACTTCAATTTCATCTGATCATACAATCTGTTTAGGATTTTTTGGATCCATATTTGTATGATTATTTTTTTTTTTACGAGTTATTAACTTTTTAGGCAATATCTGATGGTTTTTTTTTTCTTTTTATTTTGTTTTCAGGTTGTTTCGCTTAAATAATTCTAAAGACAACCCTCTCCTGGAAGAATGTTTTGGAAGCTACAAACTCTCTTCAGAAATCAACTGTTTAAATTGGAATCCTGTTGAAAGTAATCTACTAACTGGTGCCACTGATGATGGTGGAATTTGTGTTCTTCGAATAAGTTTATAACATACCCGTTATGCTATGATCACTTAACCTTTCAGTGCATTGCTTCTTTTTTAGAGTAATTTGCAATATTATTATTTCTTATTCTTATTCTGTTCATTTACAATTTTGTCATGTTTTGATTTTGATAAAGATTTTGTGGAAAGTTCAAGTTGGTAGTATTTTTTCCAAGAACGTAATGAATCCGGATGGATAAGATATTTGAAACTGTATTCTTAATATTTGTTAAATCTTTTCAGAGAAATAAGATAGCATCAAATGTAATAATAAAAAGCTTAGAAACATTAGAAATATTTATGAAATTGCATAATGGTGATTGAATATGGCACCATATTTTTTAAATAATTATGTTGCATTTTTTTGGCAGTAATATATTTATGCCTTAAAGAGCACAGCAAGGTTTTTTAGAAGTGATTACAGCTGGATGGTACCAGAATATGAAAGTCACCAAATGACTGGAATCAAAGGATGGGCAGAACCATTACAGATAAAAATCATCATTCTCCAGAATGAACAACTTATCGAACAGCTGAAAAATATTATACCTGTAAGCTATTTGATGTTTCCTAACATCGGATCAATTGACATAACTAATTATGCTAACTGGTGATTTGTTACGTCAGATAAATTTAATAATTTAATTTCGGAATGGAAATTTTCTGTTTTTTCCATTTATAATGTTTGTTATTTGTTAAAAACGGTATTTTTTAAATCTGGTAAATATCTCTATTTCTGGCTTCAATTATAAGAGAGAAGCAATTTATTACGCAAACATTTGAGATTAATATTGTAGAAAATTGCAAGCACTGAAGTAAAAAATCTGAGAGTTGGACGTGATATTATTGAACATCGAGTTGACATATACGATTATGGAAGTCCATGGGTTGAGCTTCATGTTGACGTAAGTCTCAGAAATTCTGAAAAAAGAATTTTTTCGTTTTTAATCTTTGTCGTTATACTTACAAATGCATTCTTTCTTTTTCTATTAACCAGTATTTTTATTAATTGGAGTATGCTGTTTTAAATCTTTTATTCTCAATTTTTTTCCACAAGTGTTTGATTGGTTTTTTTCGATTTTTATTTTCTTCATTTTTAAAAAGAAATTAGAGTAACACGTTTCGAAATACTTTTATTTCTTTTTTTTTTTTTTACATATTTTTGTTTATACTTTGATTTCCTGTATTTCAGATATGCTGCAAGTTTTTATTATAACTTATAGTTATATATGAAGTTTAATGGCGTTTTGTGGAAGATTATAAGATTTTATTAATAAATCTGGAATATACTTCCTTTACATGCAGTATTTCTTTCTTAATCACTAAGTAAACAGAGTGACGATTGAATCAAATCTCGAACATCCCTTTTTTTTTTCCTTTCTGTCATTTTTTTTTGTCATTAATTTAATTTACTTTTTTAATAGGTGATGTCCTCTTGCTGGAAACGAATATTTCTCAAAATGGTATCAATGTTTCAAACTCTAACTATTAAATTTTCTGGAAAGCACACACCTATACTTCAGACGACAGAGCGTGGTTTTTTCATGGATGATTGCTTGTTTGATTTTTAAATTATTTTAATTTTTTTTTAAAAAATTGTAATTTTAAATTGTTTTAATTTTGATAGACTTGAGATTGATAAGCATATTCATGAATTTATGTATGGAGAAGAGATTTTCGGCATTGTGAGAAAACATCAAATATTCTAATGGAAATTTAAAATGTTTCAATTTCTAATTCTTTACATTGCTTGACAAAGCTTCTCAGTGTCACTTGCGGATTTTCCTTTCCTCTGTCTCCGATAGGCAAAACATGATAAAACAAACAATGTTTGGATTTAAATCATTATGAATTTTTTTTTTTTTTTTTTGATAATTTTACTGTTTTGAAAAATTTCATTAAATTTGTTTGTTATTGTAAGCCATTTTTTTACCATAGTTTTGCACCTGTAGCCATCATCCAGGGTTCTGTAACCATTTAACATGATGGTAACTCATTCCCTTAACTTTGAATAACCTGATCTAATCTATGTCCATATCTTTGCGAATATCTCACCATTAGCTATTTGATTAAGAATGTCAGTCCCGGATAAGTTATAAAATATTCCCATGACTAAGTCTGATTCACTAACTGAATATATTGAATACCTAATGTATTTGCTTATGATCTGTTTAAAAAATTATTTTCAGATCAGCTGAACTCCAAGTCGATGTACATTCTATCCATCATGGGAATTTGCTCGATCTTGGCACATTTTGTTCCCATTTCACTCGCGAAATACCGAAAGGAATTAATGGAACGAAATTATCGGAATACATCAAAGTGTTGTCAAATTTATCGTCACGTAATGTGCGTAGTCCTATGTACGTTGATTTTGAACATGATCGAAACATATTCACTGTACGATTCGCTGTTTTAGATGGTTTGTTTCTTTTTATATTTTCACTTAAAATTAAAATATTGTTAGGATAGATACGATTAATTTTAGTCTTATCAATGAATGAAAGATTCCGTTTCTGGCACTTTTTTCAGATTATGGAATTTTCTAGCAAAATACAAAATTTGAATCAGAAAGTAAGAACTTTATAATCTTTGTATTTCCGATTGATGAGAAAAAGCTTTAGTGATAAGCTTTCTTTGCAATTAAAAAGAAATTAGAAGAAATATGTTTATTTTATTTCGAGGTTAAAATGATTGGTTGTTGTAGGATACCCACAAACAATCGATATTAGCTGAAATTGTTAAATTCGTAAAAATTTTAAATGTTTTAGAGGTTACATTCAAAATTAGTAGCAAACTAACCTTCCGTTACAACACTATTCTATAAATATTAACATACTTTGTTAAGTATTGTTTTGCATCCATTATTTTATAATACAGTTGCAAATATTAATCCACTGGAGTAAAGGTTTTCAATAAGATATTTGGTTGAGCTACTAAATATGAAACTACATTTATAAACTTAAATTAGAATTTCTCTCAAAGAACTGATATTTCAGGGTATAAAGCACGAGAAATGAATAACACGAGTAATGAAAAGCAAAAACTCGTGGATTCAATGTTTGCTCTAAAGGTGAGCTCTTCGTGATTGACAACTTTTTGACCTATAACCTAACTTTCTGATCGTTTCCTTGTTCTCTAAATTTTTCACAATCTACTGAAGTAGTTTTTTGGAAATTGTGTCCTTCGTTTTAAATTTTAAATTCAAATTCCTCCCCTCTTTTTGATGGGTTTCTTTTAAGCTGAAGTATCAATGTTAATAGTAAATGATAAGCTAATAATCTTCTTTTATAAGATTTCTGTTTGTTTACTGATTATAAGTGTATTCTGCTTTGGTTATCTTTACACTGCGGCATTAATTCTTAGAATTCAAATATTTTCTTTTTTAATTTCATTTAGTTGAAGTGTAACTATGTGCGATTGGTACAAAGAAGTACTTATTTCAGAATTAGTTGAAAACTTTCGATTCTGTTCGAGTAAATAATGCAGTTTATGGTGAATTATGCATAAGTGATAAGTGAGATGTAATTCTTTTTACATTATTTATTATTAAAGAGCTGCAAATATTTTCAGGTCAATTACACTTCTTTGCGTCGCATTTTAGTTGACACAAACCAAGAAAGTTGTGCAGCACGAATTTATTTCCATCTAAATTACCCTCCTGAAATACGTAGATTTCGTCAAAAAATGAATGTTACACAAGGACCAAAAGTGGAATTAATTAGTGACCGATTCAGGTCAGTCATGAATTTTATTAAATTTTGAAACATATAACATAACAACGAAATGTCTGTGGCTTTAGTTGAGGTCAAAACTTCAAAATTTTAGGAGCACAGATGAAATTTTAGAACGACAAACGACTGGTTTTTAGGTATTATCCCGAAGCAGATTATCAGAAAGATATCAGTTTAGCAATTACAGCTATTAACGATAGTCCAATCTTTTGCTTGCAATTTACGGAAATGATGGATGTAAGAACAATTTTTATTTTTGTCTTTTAATGCTTTTATAATTAAATATAGATTTATTGCTGATATTTATGGGTGGTATTTATTTTTTGAGTTCCATAGAACTTTATTATTAGAACAATCTTTTTTACATTTTAGGATAATCTATTGTATAGGCTGTTGAGTAGATTGCATGCCCGTGTCAATCTTCCGATCGAATTCGCCAATGTTCAGTTTTCATATTTTTCCGTGGATAAGTAAGCAATACTGCTTTTTTTTCAATGAATAAACTAGTCTCTTGCATTCATTTTTAGTCATCTCTAATACAACTTTATTAAAAATAAACATTTATTAACTTTCATTGTTCAAATTTTTGCTACAAAGTGAAACTGAAGTATGATATTAGAATGTACACAGGATTAAGTTTGTTTCAGTTGTGAATCGTTCATTTTTTAAAATATATTTAATTAAATTTGAGTAAAGCGTAGAGTATATGAATGATTTTACATATCGTATAGAATAATTTTAGTTACGTGCCATTACCAGTTCGAATGATTGGTTGCGATTATCGAAAATGTGCTACTGAAGAGGGAATTTCACAAAGCGATCAACCATATCAGCCTGTGGAACCGAAAGTTGATAAGGCTTGGTCTAAAAGATTAAGATCACTTTCATTTGCATTGGAATATCTGATTGCAGCATTACTATCACGTGGCGCTGTTGTAAAAGATCAGTTACTGGTACGCACATAATTTTACTCATAAAGTTTGCGTTTTTTTTTTTTTTTTTTGCAAAATTATCACTAATTTTAATTTACATGTTTTAAAATCACTTAATTTATGTAAACCAATTACAAGCCGTTACTTCTGTAATTGATATCTTCCGTTTACCTCTCTGCAATTCTTAAAATTATGCAGAATCGTATGTGAAAGTAATTTTACATTATGCAGTTTGTTATTTTTTTTTTTAATAATTGACGTACATCTAATCGCAACAGTGATTACCATTTTCTGATTTAATTTTCTTTCAGCAAACGGTAGAATCAAGAAATGAATTTCTA